TTTTCATAAACCCAAGTCCACAGAGATTTTCTTACAGGTATATGTAAGTAGTCCCTAGGGGGAGGCGGAGGGTGACTTGGTTAACATAGCGTGGATGATTTTGACCCGCGCCGCGCGCTGTTTTCCCGACTTTCAATGAGGATAAAAATTAACCCAGGATTTCACACTGAATCCTTTCTCTTTATACTGCCTGTCCACAGAATCGTTTGAAAAAGAAAAGGATTCAGGAGTTAACTTTGCCCACTACTCCAGAGGCAAAGGAAAATCATTAAAATTGCAGATATATGTTTAACATTCATGTTGAAATAGGACTGAAGCGTGCTGAAGAATTGACTGATTACCTGATTGACCGAGCTGCTGAACTGATTAACTGATGGACCGACCTATCGCCGGACTGAGCAACCGATCAACCTGACTGACCAGTTCTATCTGTCTGATGAGGTAGTAGGCTGACATAGGAGTTAAAAAATCTGTGACACCTGACTGACTGACTGACTGACTGACTGATGAAGGAATGAATGAATGACTGAATGAATGAAGGAAGGAAGGAAGGAATGACTGACTGACTGACTGAATGATGAAGGAATGAATGAATGACTGAATGAATGAAGGAAGGAAGGAATGAATGACTGACTGACTGACTGAATGACCGACCGACGACCACACGACTAACCAACTGAATGACTGATTGGCTGGCTGGCTGGTTGACTGACTAACTAACTGACTGACTGACTGACTGACTGACTGACCGACCGACCGACTGACTGACTGACTGACTAAAGTGGAGGATGTATAACAGGTGATCTGAAAGGTTTACCACAAGACTGACATTCTGTTGTCTCTCTTTCTGATGGATTAACAATGCTGATTAACTGAGTAGCCAGCCAATTCGTGGTATCCATATAGGTAATATTCCCGCGAAAGTAGTTTCGGTTGATTGCGTACACGTTATAGGGCTATCAATCAAGAGGGAACTTTTACTTCCGGCCATAACGTAACTAGTCGAAGAAGGATTACTGAGAGCTTCAAACAGAAATATTGCTAGTTGCTTAGAACGCCTTCGCTGCAATTAATCCTGAACGAGGTCACCAAGTAAAGTGGAAGATCCTATATTTAAGTCAGAGAAAGTAATTAAATGTGCAGCCCTATTTTGTAGTTTTTGGAGACCCTCAGACCGACAAACACCCATGCTGCCCGATATAGAGATGTCGCCGATTGACACTCAGGTCCAAGCATTCATGCAATAGTGGCCAAACTTCAAGGTTTGTGTTGAAAATAATGGGGCTGGGGCAGGGAGGAGGGGGCGGGGAGTTTTTGGTGCTACAACATAGACCTCACTTGCCACCTATTTATGTTTGTGATCAGCAATTACGTAGACAGAAACAACAAAACACGGCAGAACTCAAATCTGTCATTTTAAACGAACTGGAAAAAATTGTCAAAGAAGACTACTTTTTTATTTTGTAACAACACAATGCTACGAAATCAATTTGAACTTTTTGTAATTGGATACCTATAATTGGATACCCACGTGATTTTCATGTCAATTACGTGCACTTTAATGGCTTCCTTCACAATGTTTCCTACAGTTTTCAACTTTGAAAAGCACTACAGACGTTTTCGCTTACAAGAACTTCCCAAAAGACATTTTTAATTCCGAAATTTCTTATAGATACGATTAATTAGTAATTGCACCTTGTGTCGTACCATTCAGGGAGTAATCGTGCTCGTATTTTCAAATCTGCCTTGCGCGTCGCGCTTGTCCGATTTTGAAATTACTCGCCTGATTACTTCCTGAATTTTACACCACTCGCTCCAATTACTATTACTAATCACACAAGTGAATAACAAAATCGGATGACCTTGTCCTGGAAGGAGTCTGATTTTGTCAATCACAATTACAGACAGAATTGAACAACATGAAGTCCTGCTACTAATCAATCAAAACTGTGACCATATGACCATAACCATTGGTTGGTTCTCACAGGCAGACAAATAATTAAACTTTTTAAGCTAAACTTCTTTATGAGATAAACTTTTCTCTACATGGTCATACCAGGCAGGCAAAATTACTTAAGAGCAACTTCGCCTAAATATCAACTAGCCTTGGAAATAGCGAAAAAATCGAATTTCTTCAAACTCGCCCAGAATGAAGCCCTGTGGGCACTAATTGCAAAAATAGTGTTTTAAGTTCGATAAATCAAAAATTATTTTTTTTACGCAATTTTTT